GAGAGAGAGAGAGAGAGAGAGAGAGAGAGAGAGAGAGAGAGAGAGAGAGAGAGAGCGAGAGAGAGAGAGAGAGAGAGAGAGGGAAGACAGGGAAGCCATAGCCGTTATCTGGTTGAGATCCGTTATGTGTGTGTGTGCAGCAGAGCCGCAGGAGACTAATATTCTTGTATATTGATAATAATATTGGAGACGGCATCTTCAAGTGTTGATTGTATCTCAATTTGGCTTCTCACGTGTGAACTCTCATGTGAATGTTCATTGATGCATGCAAGGTTGAACTTGACGAGTACTTGGCTCATTTCAGTGGTATCAGAGCTGTTTCCCGCTGCATCCGCTCGGAGTTGAGGGCCAAAGAAGAAGGGGCACAGTAAGGAGCAGGAGTACTCACCTGTGATCGAGGAGCTTCATTGACGGAACGTTCAAGGAGTCAAGTGCATCTTTGCCCTGTCCCTGTCGTTTACGCAGTTTGAATTTTGTTGTGCATGGTACCTTCTCATGTATTTTCCTGGAGACCTCTGCTGCAAGTCGATTTCTGTTGATGTCATCTTGCCATTCGAGCCAGCAGTTGCACTTGATTTGCCTGTTGTTTGGTGAGTCACAGACCGATCTCTCCTGGAGGAAAGGCTCCTCCTCCTTGCGGGGGAAGTGGTTAGGGTTGCCGGCTACCTGAGGGCATAGCTACCCAGTGGGACCCTAATCCCGTGAGAGTGAGTTTCGTGTGTGACGTAGTCGGTCTAGGGTAACACCTCGGCAGCTGGAGGTATCCCCAGACCTAGTACGGAGCACGGGCAATGAGCGGCGGGCGCTCGTAAAACAACCCGGCTATGCCCAATGACCGGTACTGACCGGCGTGCAACTGAAGACTTGACAAGATGCAACTTGAATTTTGTTGTGAATGGTACTGCGAGGCCACTGCCTTTATGAGCCCCTTTCGGTCCCTCTCTTACAGCCCGTCAGCCGCCCTAAGTGAAGGCAGGCTCGACGAGGCCTTGAGGGCCTTATTTCGGCCTCTGCGCAACTAAGGAAATTCAGGCAGTTGCGCTGTGCCAGTTGGTTGAGGAAACCCAGGCCCTGGGCCGCCTGTGTGAATGAATGGAAAGCAGGCCCTGGGCTGGATACGGGTACTGGGCCACACACATGCCAAAGGCAGTTGGGCACATGTAACTACCGCAGGCCCCAGGCCTGTTCTCAATCGTAATGGACCTCAGGCTACCGGGGCCTACTGGAAGCTTCCGGGGACTGGACGCAGGCAGGCCACTTCGATATAGCAAAAGGCCTGCCTCCTCATTCGATATTCGGGTGCTGGCTGCATGCTGCGCTATTTGCTGGCTGGCGCCTACGCGCTCACGGGCGAGCAGGGAAGGAGCAGGCAGCCATAGCCGAGCTGCGCTGCTGTGAGCTGGGTGTGGCGCAGGGTGGTCCTTGGGTGCAAGTGGCATCTGTGTGTTGGGGAACGAGGTTGTGAGTAAGGCGAGAGACATACCTGGTGCTGGAAGCGAGCGACATTGGTCGCTGTATGCTCGTANTTGTGAGTAAGGCGAGAGACATACCTGGTGCTGGAAGCGAGCGACATTGGTCGCTGTATGCTCGTACTTCGGAAGAGCTGTTGTCGTCAACTTCGGCATTGTAGTATGGGCTAGACAGGATCTGCCACATGTAGTCTGGGCGCCGAGCGCCAGATAGGATATCAACTCTGGTTCTTCGTTGATGATGATGATGGGACTATTTCAGCATTGTCAATCATAACTCTTGGTGTGTTCTTATTTCGTGTATCTCGTGATGCAATTCTGCTGTTGGTTCGAGGTCACGACTACCTGGACTCGTATGTATGATGCTGTTTGATTGCTGAAGTTCGCTATTGCTCATCTTCCTTGCAATTTGGTATCAGAGCTGTGGTACGTTTGCCCTCATCTGGCGCTTGTCTTCTGCCTGGTACGGTGCATACATGCGGTCTGCTTGGCGAGTTTGGCCGTAAGTGGGGTGTAGTGAGGAGGGCGGAGGCGAGTGAGTGGCGACCCAGGAGTTGAGGGGATCGCCAGGAAGGCTACGTGGTATTAATGTGGTCTGGACAGTGTGATGAGAACTATCTAATGTGCAATTGATGCTGAGGTGGAACGACGAGACATTGCTGGTTGTGCCGATGCAGTGACTGGTCATTGCAATCGCCATCAGGTCATCTGGTGAGATTATCTCTGTGGTTGGGGGCAGCTATTTGAGGTAAGTTGCTCTTAACCTTATCTACCCTCTCCGACACTTCTTACCGTGAAGTTGTGTGTTCCTTCTTGAGAGTCCTCTCATTGTGAGGTGTTGAGTGCGCTCAACCTTGAGAGTCGGCAATGTTCACGTGGAGCATCTGGGAGAAGATGGGCGGAGCTTTCTGAAGGGCCCTGTACGAAGCACTGGGTCACGGTCACCATGCCAACCCACCGCGAGTAGAGCATGCATGCTTTGCTGCTTGTCCTTTGTTCAGCTTGCTGCGCTGTTAGATGGGTACTGAAGGGCAGGCCAGCCCTTAAGGGAGACGAGACCGGGCGTCTTTAAATAAGCACCGGAAGGGGAACCATTGGCTGTGATCGTCGTCCGGCTGCAACGTAAAAGAATTCCTGGAGTCACTTGGGGGCGGACGTTAAATTGCCTCTGGATCAGCCAATGGTTGTAAGGCTCGCTGCACGCGAGGATAATCCAGTGCAGGGCTGGCCAGCTCAGCAGATACTCGGGGCACAGGGGTGGTGCAACGCCTCCGGATTGCTCAAGGACACTGACGTCAAGTGATACTCAGGGGAACTAAGGGAGGGGTAGATTTCAGGTGATAAGTTCAAGAAAAATTCCATGCTGTCCTATCCACACAAACGATTCTATTTTTATGTTTTGATTAGTTAGGTGTACAGCCATTGACATCTCACAGACAGCATTAGTTAGAATTGTTCTTGTTCATGGTGCTTCCGTTTGCGGACTAGTCAAACTAAAAATAGTTTTCTTTGTAGGAATCTGACTTACCTGTTGACCCGAATGTAAAGTCTCCGAAATAGCCACCAGTTAATTGGTCTGTGCACTACGCTGCGGTAGGCACCTAGAATGCATTAGCGCAGATTGTGTACAGGGCTGTAGCTTATGAGTAGCTTATGAGCGACGAGGAGGACACTGGAGAGGACGACCAGAGGATATCGCGATCGGCTAGACGCCATATTGCCCACTTGGCATTAGGACCAGAGGGCGACAGATTTCTGTTCCGCCAGCTTAGGGAGAGGCAGCAGCAGCAGAGGAGGGCTAGAGCAGCAGAGGAGGTCTAGAGCAGCAGAGGAGGGCTAGAGCAGCAGAGGAGGGCTAGAGCAGCAGAGGCTAGCAGGGCACTTGTGAGTGAGGCCGCAGCTTCGAAAGCCATGGCCACTTCTGCACAGCAGACTACTCAGGCCGGTAGTTCAGGATCTGTCGGGTCAACAGTCGCGCAGACCCAGAGTCAGTCTGCTGGCGTAATGGCAAGCCAGCCACTAGTGTTGATGCCCGATGAGATCGCCATACAACAAGCAGCATTGCAGGAGGTACAGCTACAGAAGGCGTTAGGAGATATAAAAGCGGAGAAAGAAAGGATGATCAGAAGAAGAGCCAGGATACAGCGTAGACAAGCGGACATTAATGAGTTAGAGGAGATGGACCTGATGCACGTGACAGATAATGTGAGGATCATCCGGTCTATCCTGCTGAATGTAGTGGAGATGCAGGACCAGCAAACAACCATCCTTCAGGACATCCAGCAAAGTCTGGCCCTGTTGGTTGGGCGAGCGCCAGCAACGTCACCAGTGTCCGGGCCTGGTGCCTCGCCCATTGTACATCCTCCTCCTTATGTCCCACCCGTGACTGGGGTATCCCCATATGTAGCTCCACCATCAGTAGCGATCGTTTCCCTGGGCATGCCGCTTTCAGGAGGGGTATCAGCAGGGACTAGTTTGCAGGTTCCTGTACAGACAGTGTACACCCAATCTCCGTTGCAGGTTGCAGTCACCACGCAGCCTGCTGCCTCGCAGCCTGTGCAGCTGCAGGGCACTCAGCCCCAGCAGCTAGCACAACAACCTGTGTCACAGGGTCCACAGCCCGGAGTGATGCAGGGACCGGGACAAACACAGTGGGTCCCAAAGACGGCCATCGCCGCTCCGAAACCCTTCACAGGGGATAAGAGAGGTGAAGACCTCGACACGTGGTTGAGGGCAGTGCCAGTCTATGTCAGGTGTAAACTTACCTTGCCGCACGAAGAAGTGCTTGTGGCTGCTTCCTACCTAGAGGGTAGTGCAGCAAGATGGTTGAGTGGTTTAGTGCAGCTCCAGGGGTATGGTCATGACTTCCACGCTCGGGCGGTCACCCAGAAATTGGAGGACTTCTTGAAGATGGAGGAAAGGTGGCATGATCCTCAGGAGGCCCAAAGGGCCACTGACGCGATCCTGACACTGCACACACGGCAGTTTAAGTCAGTAAGGGAAGCCACCGACACTGTTGAGCGTCTGATCTATGTCCCAAGGGTGAGCTATGACACCCAGGTTTTACTTACCTCGTACCTGAGATGCTTCTCATTGCCTCTCAGGAACCAGTTGGCAAGTCAGGCCATTTCCTTCGTTTAGCAAGATGGCCCTAGACCTTGAGGCGAAGATAGGGCATTGACAGGCACCCACTACGAATGGTAGGAAGAAGACACTGCCTCCCAACTGGAAGGCGAAGGGCCGCTTAATGTTTGTTGATAACGATGGTTCTACTATCGAGCTAGACGACAACTTCCATGAGGGAGTAGGTTCACAGGCGGGCAGCCTAGAAGCTTCAAGGGGTGGAGTAGTCGCTGCTGTAACTCAAAAAGGTAAGGCGACCGGTAGACGTCGTGGAGGTTCCCAGTCTAGGAGTCAAGTTGACCCCAATGCTCCTCCATGGGAGAAAGCGGGTCTTACAGAGGACGTGTGGAGAGATCGTTATTCACGGCAGGCCTGTATTCGTTGTGGCCAATATGGCCATAACCAGTTCAAGTGCCGCAATAAGAAGGTGACCGATAAGATCCCGCCTACGATGGGGCAGGTGTTGGGATCATAACCAGTTCAAGTGCCGCAATAAGGTGACCGATAAGATCCCGCCTACGATGGGGCAGGTGTTGGGATCCTCCCATCCCGTTGATAGCAACGTGGCTAGTTCTTCTGGCAGTGCTCCGGGAAACACGTCGGGCCAGTAGGAATAGTAGCTGTTCCTGCTAGGGTCGAGGTGGTGGAGACACCCTCACCATCTCGAGAGATGGCCCGAGCTACTGACTCCAGCGTCGTCCCGCAAACACGCTCAGACCCATCGAGCCTTTCTTCGATGAATGTGTTTGAGTCCTTAGAGGAGCTAGAAGAGGAGTGGTCTAGATCACACCCGCTAGCTTCTTGGACGGCACTAGTCAAAGCCCCGAAGGGTGAGATGTTCGTCAGCAAGGTAGTCATTGGCAGCCGCAAGGCTGGGGCCTATTATGACACTTAATCGACAAGGAACTTTATTAGCCGCGCGTGCGTTGAGACATTGCATTTACAGGGGCGAGTGCAGCGCCTGAGTCGACCTGTGGAGTCGACCTGTGCCAACAAACATCGCATGGTAGTCGATGACTACCTCCAGGAGGTTGAGCGTTGCTTCCCGTACGCGGGAGGGGAATTGAGACATCGCGTCTCGTTCCTAGTGAGTAACGAGCTCCCAATGGATATGTTACTAGGAATGTACTACCTCTCTGTGGCTCAGCCCCAGTTTGACTGGGACCGAAAAGTGGTCAAGCACACTTTGCCAGGTGGAGGGACCGCCAAATTGCACAAGTTCAAAGCTAGTAGTCTGATTGAGTCCCATGGATGCATGTGTGCGGCTGCGTTCTATAACTATTATAAGCAAAATCAGGAGGAGGGTATGTACCTAGTTTATGTCTCTGCTGCAGGCGAGCGGGTGAAAATGTCGTCGGAGATAGAGGGAGTAGTTGCCAAGTACCCTGAACTATTTGAAGAGCCGACAGGGGTTGTAGAGAGGGAGGTCGTCCACGCGATAGAGATTATCCTAGGGTCCAGTATCCCGAAGGGTAGGATCTATCGGATGTCTCCAGGCGAGCTCGATGAGCTTCGCCGACAACTCGAGGAACTCGTAGAGAAGGGTTGAATCCGGCCGAGTGTCTCTCCTTATGGAACTCCAGTACTATTCGTACCTAAGGAGGGTATACTTAGGATGTGCATTGACTGACTATAGGGGCCTCAATGCCATCACTGTAAAGAACAGAGAGCCCCTGCCGCGCATCGATGATCTGCTAGATAGAGTGCAAGGGCGTCGGTACTTCAGTAAGATAGACCTGAAATCCGGGTACCATCAGATTGCAATCCGGCCCGAGGATCAACAAAGAAACCGCCTTTCAGACCAAGAACCGTCTGTACGAGTTTGTGGTGATGCCTTTCGGCCTTTGCAATGCTCCTGGCACCTTTCAGCACGCTATGAATCGGATATTCCATGACTACTTGGATAAGTTTGTCGTCGTGTACCTCGATGACATACTTATTTTTAGTAAGACTGTCGAGGAGCACGTTGCACATTTGGACAAAGTCCCCAGTCTCCTGCGACAGCACAAGTTCAAGATCAACGGTGAGAAGTGCGAGTTTGGCCGCACCCGTGTCTTGTACTTGGGTCATGAGATATCCGCGGAAGGGTTGAAGCTCGTTCACGCGAAGGTGGCCAGCATTCGGGATTGGCCATGTCCTCAATCTGTGACTGAGATGAGATCTTTCTTAGGAATGACAAGCTACTATGGGACTTTCGCTAAGAACTATTGCATAGTGGCCGCTCCTTTGACTGATCCGACCCGCCTTGACACCCCATGGGAGTGGACAGATGAGTGCGAGGCTGCTTTCAGACATCTGAAGCATGCGTTGACGCACTACGAGGTCTTGAAACTTCCTGATCCTAATAAGCCGTTTATAGTCACCACGGACGCCAGCCAATATGGCATTGGCGCCGTGTTCGTGCAGCAGGAGGGGCCAAAGTTGAGGCCTGTAGAGTACATGTCCAAGAAAATGTCGTCTAAGAAGTTGGCTAAGTCCACCTATGAGAAGGAACTCTATGCGGTGTACAAGGCTCTGACCCATTGGAGGCACTATCTCCTTGCGAGGTTCTTCATCCTCGAGACTGATCATCAAACCCTGAGATGGATGAGAACTCAGCCGGTGCTCTCTGACGCTCTCAAGCGTTGGATCGAAGTCATTGAACAATATGACTTTGACCCCCAGTATATGAAAGGGGAGTACAACAAGGTTGTTGATGCCTTGTCGCGTAGACCTGATTTCTCAGGTGCGCTGATTACTGAGTCCGATCTGACGGACAATGTTACTCAGTCCTTGGTGGAAGCCTATCACGAGGACCAGTTCATGTCTGAGATCATACGCAGACTCCGAGCAAAGGACAAGAAGACCTCTGCCGAGTTTGAATTGGTCAATGGCTTGTTGTTCCTTGAGAAGGCAGGGAATAAACGATCGTGTGTCCCTAATAGCGAGTCTTTGCGTAGTTTATTTTTAGGTGAATGTCATGATGCCACCGATCATTTTGGGTACAAAAAGACCACAGCTAATCTGCTGCCGCGATTCTGGTGGCCCACAATGATGCGAGATGCTCAGCTGTACATGGAAACGTGTCAAGTTCGTTAGAAAGACAAGCCACGTACACAGGCCCCTCTTGGGCTCTTGAAGCCGCTTCCAATTCCGGAAAGGCCAGGTGAGAGTTTGTCCATGGATTTCATAGATACTCTGATCACCAGCAAGAGTGGAATGCGCTATATCTACGTCATTGTGGATAGATTTAGTAAGTTTGCTAGATTAGTAGCGATGCCGGCAACAACTAAAACGTAGTATGTCATTAAGATGTTCAAAGAGAATTGGGTTAGAGATTTTGGGTTGCCCAAGTCCATACTGAGTGACAGAGATGTTCGATTTACCAGTGAGTTGTGGAAAGCCGCTCCTGCGGAACAGGGGACCCAGTTGCAAATGATTTATGGGAATCACCCAGAGTCCAATGGCCAAGCCGAGCAACTGAACCGCGCTGTTCAACACCTATTGAGGCATTACATCAAGCCCAATCAGGTGGATTGGGATGAGAAGCTTGCTCTCATTGCCAGCTTGTACAACAACGATGTACACAGCGCCACCAGGGTGAGCCCAAACAGCTTACTGCTAACTTTCAAGGCTAGACTACCCTTAGACTTTCTTCTTCCCGAGAATCAGACCACTGCTGCACAAGGTACCTTAGAATTTGCTTATCGGTATGAACATAAGATGCAGCAGGCTGTAGAACAAATGCAGAAGGCACAGGCTGTAATGATAGAGTCTGAAAATAGACACCGCCGTCCTTCTACGTTTCAGGTTGGGGACAGAGTATGGGTTAAGTCTTCAGAACTGGGACAGGAGCACGGGATTTCCCACAAACTCATGCCCCAGTACTTTGGACCCTGGGAAGTCTTGGACATCGTTGGGACAGATCCGAATCGACCATCTTATGTTATCCGGATCCCTGGTCATCTCCGAACTTACCCTGTCTTTCACGCCTCCAAGCTTGCACCTTTCAAGGAAACAGATGGGTTTCCTTCTCGTCGCTCAATGCTGCCCCCAACCATGGACGGAGAAGTGGACATTGATGACATCGTGGATCACAGGGAGCTGCCAGTTCAGAGACCTACAGGCAGGGGACGTCCTCCGAAACCGAAGTTCAAGTACCGCGTTCGGTTCCGACATCATACTCATCCCAAGGAGGACCGCTGGTTCACAAGGGAAGAACTTATGCAGACCGCTCCTCAAGTTGTAGCTCATTATGAGAAATCTCTGCAGAAAGGAAAGCGCGCAATGGTCCAAGATTGAGCTTCTCAGAGGACTGCTGAAGCTAAGGAGGAAGGAATGTGAGGCCACTGCCTCTATGAGCCCCTTTCGGCCCCTCTCTTACAGCCCGTCAGCCGCCCTAAGTGAAGGCAGGCTCGACGAGGCCTTGAGGGCCTTATTTCGGCCTCAGGCAGTTGCGCAGTGCAAGTTGGTTGAGGAAACCCAGGCCCTGGGCCGCCTGTGTGAATGAATGGAAAGCAAGCCCTGGGCTGGATACGGGTACTGGGCCACACACATGCCAAAGGCAGTTGGGCACATGTAACTACCGCAGGCCCCAGGCCTGTTCTCTATCGTAATGGGCCTCACGCTACCGGGGCCTGCTGGAAGCTTCCGGGGACTGGACGCAGGCAGGCCACTTCGATATAGCAAAGGGCCTGCCTCCTCATTCGATATTCGGGTGCTGGCTGCATGCTGCGCTATTTGCTGGGTGGCGCCTACGCGCTCACGGGCGAGCAGGGAAGGAGCATGCAGTCATAGCCGAGCTGCGGTGCTGTGAGCTGGGTGTGGCGCAAGGTGGTCCTTGGGTGTAAGTGGCATCTGTGTGTTGGGGAACGAGGTTGTGAGTAAGGCCAGAGACATACCTGGTGCTGGAAGCGAGCGACATTGGTCGCTGTATGCTCGTACTTCGGAAGAGCTGTTGTCGTCAACTTCGACATTGTAGTATAGGCTAGATAGGATCTGCCACATGTAGTCTGGGCGTCGAGCGCCATATAGGATATCAACTTTGGTTCTTCGTTGATGATGATGATGGGACTATTTCAGCATTGTCAATTATGAACTCTTGGTGTGTTCTTATTTGGTGTATCTCGTGATGCAATTCTGCTGTTGGTTCGAGGTCACGACTATCTGGACTCATATGTATGATGCTGTTTGATTGCTGAAGTTCGTTGTTGCTCATCTTTCTTGCAGTACCTTCTCAAGTTCTCATGTATTTTCCTGGAGACCTCTGCTGCAAGTCGATTTATGTTGATGTCATCTTGCCATTCGAGCCAGCAGTTGCACTTGATCTGCCTGTTGTTTGGTGAGTCAGAGACCGATCTCTCCTATAGGAAAGGCTCCTCCCCCTTGTGGGGGAAGCGGTTAGGGTTGCCAGTGTCGGGGCAAATACCCTGACAAGGGTATTTGCCGGGGGTTTTCAATGTCGGACGCTGTCCGACTCTTTCGCTGGATTGAAGGGCTTGATGAGATTCACGTTGCAAAAAGTTTATTCAAACCTAACCGCTGACTGAGAGACCAAAAGATTTTAGAACCGTCGTCCGGATGCCTGCGGCGTCCGGGAGTAATGGCAATACCCAGCAGTGCTTCGCCTTTCGTCGAGGCTGTAGGGGCGTGTGGGTGTTGAGGTACTCAGGTTATTCTACCTAAAATAATGTCGCGCGGCTGTTAAGCCGTGCGATTCATGGCCCTAGTAGGTCAAAAAGGTGGTCGTGTTGGGGGTTAGGATCCGCAGCGCGAGAGGATTAGGAAGGGTTTTTATTTTTTTTTAAGGGGGCTGCGGGGGTACCGCGTATGCAGCTAAGGCTCATGGGTTAGACCACAAGCTGCTGGGCCAGAACTCCGTCAGCTCGGCAGCAGTACGATTGACTAATCGGAGGTACGACAGGTCGAGCCTGCTCGGCTGCAGCATATGGGCCTACTGGGGGGGGCAGCTCTTCTTATAGAAGAGCTGCGGGTTCAACTCCCGTGATAGGAGCTAGCCCTGTAGGTACCGGTACTTGATTGTCACCCCACTGATATGGGGATCAAACCTGACCAGGTGCGCTACCGGGCTAACTCCTTTTGGAGCAGCCCATGACGTGAGGATGGGCGCAGCCGATTTCGGTCGTGCGATCTTCGAGATCGCGCGCCTGAAATCAGCCGCGCCGAGATAGCATGGCCCCTGCGCATGGATGACAAGCATAAATCGTGCAAAAAAAAAAAAAAAAAAAAAAAAAAAAAGGGTGATTTTTTTTCGAATCCATTTGGATTCGAACCAAGGTCTGTATTTCGATCGCTCATCGCTATATGCCACGAGATCACGATGAGACAGTTGGCTAGGCCAACGAAAAAAAAAAAAAAAAAAACTAAAGCTAAACTCTAAATGCCAAGTGGCGCTGTCCGAAATGACTAGACTTCTCAGCCCAGTGCACCTGACGACGCCCTAAAAAACGGGCGACCGTTGGCAATAAGGTAAGTTCTTTCGTTTTTTTGCAATAAGGTAAGTTCTTTCGTTGTTTTTTTTTCCTTTTCTTTTCTTTCTGTCTTTTTTTAGATTATCATTGGATTTTTTCTTTTAGATTCTTTTTCGATTTCCTTTTGGGATTTTCTTTTTAGATTCTTTACTTTTTTTGAATCGTGAATTTAGTAAGGACGAACGGGCTGCCACTAATGTTAGGATGAGCAAAATCGAACGAATCTACCGCGTGAACGCGGTTTGGTTCGGGTGCGGGTTTTGGGACCTTGTACTTGAGTTACGAGGGACTCTCTGCACACGCTTTGGGTGGTCTCCGTTTTGCGACGAACGATCGCGACCGTCGGGTGGAGAGAGAGAGAGAGAGAGAGAGGGGGGGGACGTGGACCTTACCTGACAGTGGCCGAACGTGCACTTCAGGTAGGTCAGTTCCCTCTCCCTTGCAAGTTTGCTTTTGTTTTTTTTCTTTTTGAATTTTAGTTTGTTTTTTTTTTTGTTTTTTTTTTTTGCAGTTCCCTTTTTCCCTTTGCATGTTGTGGGCGTGAATAGCTGCGCCCGTCCGTGAATTGAAAACGGGCAGCGGCTATCTATGGGTGCCTGGGCCTGGCCACTATTAGTGCCCAGGTGCAGGCGCTTTTGGGGGAAAAAAAGTAAAAAAGGAAAAATGTAACGGCCGCGAATGTGGCCGCAGCCGTGGAACAGGTGCAACCCCCAGAAGCTTCTAGGGGCTCATGGGACTGCGCCTGTTCATTTTGAACAGGCAGTTGTAAGTGGCTCTATACAGACAATGCGCCTGAGGGTGGCGGCCAGGTGCATTGCCAAAGCTTGGAGCTTGATGATTCCTAGTGGAGCATCAAGATTCCCAGCCCTCGATCGAAGTTCAGATCGAGGGCCAGGCTCAGCCCCGTTTTTTGGCTGAGCCTCAAGTGGCAGACCACCACTCCAGCCCAGCTACAAAAGCAGGGCTGGCCAGCAGCATCCACCCTCAGATGAGGTGCTGCCCACATTCTGACTGAATGTGGAGTGGAGAGCAGCATTACGCTGCTGAAGTGTTGAGAGGCAGTGAGTGAGAGGTGGAGTAGAGTGGAGGACTGTCGTGAGCGCGGGAGTGGAGGCTACCATAGCCACCGCTTCATTTGGTGAAGTGCAGGGAATGTGCTGCCTGCACCGCACGGCGACAGCAGCTATTTTTGTTGCGGTGCAGGCCGGGGCTCTGCCCGTTTTGCACAGCGGCAGCTTTGAATTTTTGGCAGTGCTGCGGGAACGCTGCCGAATTTTTTCGGCGCAGTTGTGATTGTTTTGGCAGTGACGCGGAAGCGCTGCCGGATTTTTGCGGCGGCTGCACTGGTTTTAACGGTAGTGGTGCGGAAGCGCTGCCGGTTTTGCACGGCGGCAGCGACGCTGTTAGTGAGGAAGTGCTGCCGTTTATTTTTGGCACGGCGGCAATGACGTTGTCAGTGGGGAAGTGCTGTCATTTTTTTGGCACGGTGGCAACAACATTTTTCGGTGGGATCATGCTGCCGATATTGGCGGTGGCATCGACGTTATTTTTTGGGGGGTTATGCTGGCGGKATGTCGGCAGCACTATTGTGAGGGAAGATGCTGCAGGTCTTTTGTGTCACGGTGGAGGTAGTTTTTTGTGTGTGACCAGGCGGTGGTGTTACGGGGAAGCTATGGTACCGGCTTTGACGGCACAGCAAACAGTCGTCCGCGTTACTTTTTTGTGGTGCGCGGCGGTTATGGTGGATTTCAGCGTGGCCTAGACGTTGGGCTAGCGCTGGTGCGTGGCTGGGGCTGTGCGGCAGTGGTGTATAGGTCGACGGCATGCAGAAAGTGCAGAGCGGTTGCTCGCGGCGAAGTAATTATGGGGCTCGCGGCACCTGCGGGTTTCACCGCGAGCCACCTTTATTTTTTTTGTGGCGTGCAGTGTAAGCAGTTTTGAGTTTTGGACGATCTGGTATTGCGAGCGATAGTATGGGATTGCATTGGGACCATCTGGGACCATTTGGGGACGAGGTGGGACTAGTTGAGATCGGGACCAGCATGTTCATGTGGTTATCGTGAGCGGACAGGATGATTTGAGGCGGTATGGACTTGTTGTTGGTTGGGTAAGTCTCCTTGGAGCACGTGGTGCACTTGGGACTGCGTTGGGACTGTCTTGGATGTTGAGGCGATGTGGGTTTGGATCATGGGAGCACCCTCTTTGAGGGTTATCTCATTCAGACATCTTAGTGGACCCAACTTTGGTGTGATCAGGCACTTAGAGAAGGCGGCGGGTCGTCATTCAGTGAAACGACCACAACTTGTGAAGTTGTGAGCCGCGTATTTTCATGTGAGCCGCATATTTTCATATTCAACGGCAATCTTTTTCTTCTGATTGGAATATTACCCCGCTTTCTTCAGTGAGTCGGACCAAATCACTCAAGGTTAGTAGAATGACTCAGATTTCTCTTCACACTTGTGTGAACCCACACTTTGCTTGACCCTGTTCAATCGAATGTTCATTGAAAAGGCAGAGGAAATGTGTGTTTGCATGTGAATGGTGAGGTCTGACTTGAGTATGGGATTGTATGGTTTTCTTTTTATTTTATTTTCTTTGTGTGTTGTGCAGGTAGGTAGAAGGACGCTTGCAAGGGAGATTAATTATGCCTATTTGAGAGAAGGGAAAATGATTCGTCTTCCCTTTACTTCTCATCTACCTGGATGTCAATAAGGACTTGTTGTTCTGAAAAAGGTTAATTCAATGCATGTCGTAAAATGAATTCAATTCAAATAAAGCAGATAAGGTCAAATGGACTTAGCCTTTCCCCAGGATTACCTGTTCTATCCCGAACGACCTTATCTACCTATACCTGTCAAAAAAAAAAAAAAAATTCTCATTTTTTATCTCCTTCAATTTCTTTTCGTCTATGTTACTCTGAACTTAGGAGAAATCAGAATAACTAAAACCTTTTTGCGGTGAACACATTTTTTTTCTTTAGGAAGCATCTGGGGCAGGGGTTCGTTGCTTCAAGAGCCGGCCCTGTTATCGACCCAGAGTGGACCGTTCTACGAGGGGAACTTGTCGATTCGATGGAGACAGCCCGACTTCTGAGATCCGAGTCTGGTGCTCGGACGAGTACCCCAAACCACTTCCTAGAGGGAGAGGCATACAACACTTCAAACAATGCCCCTGATCAAGAATCATTTGCAAGGTAACTTGTCATCCGAAAATATTGGAAACGGATGAAGACAAAGATGTATGTCTAATTTTAAGTCGGCAGTAGATGGAATAAATAACGTTGGCAGCGCGTCTCATCAAGTCAAAACTAAGGCAGACCGACTACCTTATCGGTTGCATCACTGTTATTCTCAGTAATCAGCTTCTTGTTGGCGGTGGTTATATGATTGTTTTGTGCAGTTCGACCCCGGATTGTTGATATTGTGTTATTGGATATTTCATATGACGATTTGATTTCTTATAGTTATCATTTCAGATTGGACATACCGTCCTATCGACTACGGTAGATTCCTTTCGATGTAACTATGTATGGTTGTTACAACTTTCTTTTGATTGTGTGTTAAAGGGACTAGGATTAATGTTGGGTTTCACGCTTGGTTGAGATCGTCCTAGTCGACCGGCGTCCGCTCCACACCTAGGAGATCAGCGCCCTAGGAACAGACGGCGTTCGAGTTCGCTTGGCGTTAACCAAGCGTATCTATACTACAGCGAACGAGCAAACGCCCTCGGCTGACCTACCTCTGCAATTGCATCTAAAAGCTTTCGCACGTGGGTCAGTAGCTCGGTAGAGATGCGCCCCTAAGGGTGGTGACAGCCCCTTAGGGAGGGAAAGCTTATGCCCCGCGGGAACCAATCCTGTCGTAGGGGACCGCGGGATGTACAGCTAGCGCACCCGGCTAGAGCGGTGAAGGGACGACGCAACTGTGACCGTCTCGGCGGCTCGCGGGATACTTTATGTCGTTCCAGAGTTGTCTCCGTTTTTTGTAATGTTTTACTCCTGCGTTACATGGCCGGGAGGGCTCTCTCCTTTGCGAAAAAGGCAGGAGCCGATGCGCTCGACACCGGCTACTTGGGGGTATAGGTACACAGTGGGACCCTAATCCCGTGAGAGTGAGTTTCGTGTGTGACGTAGGTCGGTCTAGGGTAAAAACTGGGCAGCTGGAGGTATCCCCAGACCTAGTACGGAGCACGGGCAATGAGCGGCGGGCGCTCGTAAAACAACCCGGCTATGCCCAATCATCAGTACTAACCGGCGTGCGACTGAAGACTTGACAGGACGTAGGGAGGAGTTGTAATGTGCAGTAGGGTTCGCCAACTGTATAACGCACAGACAGAGTAGGGGTGAGCCGAAAGGTCCACCAGTTGCGGACTCCAAGGAGATCCCCCAAGGACCAGTACTGACCGGCTGGACATTCGTTGGTGGAAGTTGTACCCGAAAACCGCTGCAATCAGTAAGGAACCAGTCCAAGTATTGAGAGCGATCCTTCATATCGATGGGCACGGCATCCTGTTTGCGTCGTTACAGAATCCCTAAGGTCTGTGTTGGCTAACCTTAAACTATCGGTTGCCCACCGGATGTCGGGAGAGCGATAGTGACAAAAGTGGGAAGGGCCGCAAGGGAATAATAAAGGCGGTCCTCCCTCCCAAAAGAAGGACCGCTGGGAAAAATAATGCCCTGGCTGCGCGCCACAGGAAAAAAGGAGTCGAAGGAGTTCAAGAAAATAGTCTTGGGGCACCAACACACGAGAACGTAGCACGAGGCCAAGAGGGCCACCGGAATGCGGCATACGAAGAGTCGAAGGTCCATGAGCCAAGTAAAAGGTCGTGGCCGGAAAGACCAGCGCACATGGGACATGGAAGGGACTAGAAATTGGGCAGCCATGGGACGGGGAAAACGCCAAGAGAGATCGGGACGCCATGAGGAAAAGTGTCGGGGACCATATGGGACTGAGTAAAAATAACGGTATTTTGGGCCAAGTACCGACGGGACCACCGACGAGACAAATGTTAGCGGGACCACCGACGGGACAAGTGCAGAGGACTAGCGCGGGGCAAGTGGCAGGGACTTGTAATGTCCCAAGATAAGGTGGTGAGGACCATGAGAAAAATATGCCTAAAGCAAGATGTGTCGTCAAGATTAAGATCTAGACTGCCAAAAATATTAAGCACCACTAGTGCAAGTACTAGTACGCGCAAACAGCGACGGAATGAAACCAAACTTTATGGAGGTGTTCCATAGAGTACAGACAGAGGGACCACCAAGTTACGTGGGCATCCGACACCGTTTGGGCCACCAAACGCAGGACTGAATTTCTCGACTCTCCGCCTTTAGGAAAACCGACAAAATCTACAAAAATTTGCCTTTCCTGCAAAATCTGTTTTTTTGTAAACTGTGGGTTTTGCAAATCTGTGTTTTCTGCAATCCATGTTTCTGCAAATCTGTGACAACTGTAAGCCCGGGTATATGTGCAAACTGCGGGACCGAGTATCCCGGGGCGTCCGGGGCCCGCGAAAAACACTAGGTGGACGAGCGCGCACTTAGAAGTAGAGGGAAGCGTCGGACCACCCCACACCTCACTTTATCCTTCCTCCTCCGTCTCCTTCACACATCCACCATAACCATCTACCTCGCTTCACCATCCTCCGCCATCTCCTTCACCCATCTGCCATAGCCACCACCCCACTTCACCTTCCTCCTCCATCAACTTCACCCATCCACCATAACCATCCACCTCACTTCACCTTCCTCCTCCGTCACCGTCATCCATCCGCCATAGCCACCACCTCACTTCATCGTCCTCCTCCATCATCTCCACTCGTCCGCCATAGCCACCGCCTCACTCCACACTCCACCACCTTCAGCCATCCGCCATAGCCACCACCACACTTCATCTTCCTCCTCCATCACCTTCACCCATCCACCATAGTCATCCACCACGCTTATTCTTCCTCCTCCGCCTCTTTCACCGATCCTCCATAGCAGGCCGCTTCAACCTGTGCCTTTTCGAAAAGAGGAGAGGTGGATAGGTGGGCCTCAAGTAGGACGGTAGGGCAAGTAGGGGACAAAGCTTGACTAGGCATAGAGAGTCTCTCTCTCTCTCTCTCTCTCTCTCTCTCTCTCTCTCTCTCTCTCTCTCTCTCTCTCTCTCTCTCTCTAAGTTCTCCCTTTCTCCCTCTTCCCCATTTGCTCCTTTTGGTTCTCCCTCCCCTCTACCTCTCTCGTATCTCAAGTCTAACCCTCAATGTTCCCCCCAGGCCGCGGCCGGGTCCAGCCTAGGCCGCGGCCGGGACCCCCTTGGCCGCTGCCGGGCCGGCTGTGAATTTTCGGCCGAGG